AAGAGAGAGGGCGGATGGTAGTGATGCTGATGAGGATGATGATTTTAAAGGTTTGAATTCTTCTGGTAGGGGTAATTTCCAACAATATTACAAAAGAGTTGAGATAGAAGAAGAAGATATTAGACATCCTTTGGTGAGAGAGATTAGCAGGTTGATTGAACTCAGGTCGGCGTGGAATTCAAAGTTGGAAGGAGAAATGAGGCATTTATTGAAATGTCTAAAGCCTAGACAAGTTTGTGCTGTATTGCGATCACAGGTTGATGAACGGGTTGCTCTGAAATTTTTCTATTGGGCAGACCGGCAATGGAGGTATCGTCATGATCCGATTGTTTATTATGAAATGCTTCACATACTTAGTAGGACTAAATTATGTCAAGGTGCTAGACGGGTTCTTCGTCTCATGGCACGTAGAAGAATTCGTAGTTTCCCTGAATCCTTTGCTTGTTTGATGGTGTCATATAGTCGGGCAGGTAAGTTGAGGAATGCAATGCGTGTACTGACCATGATGCAAAAAGCTGGAATTGAACCTAATCTGCTAATATGTAACACAGCAATTCATGTTTTGGTGATGGCAAACAGATTGCCGAAGGCATTGAGGTTCTTGGAGCGAATGCAACTTGTTGGGATTATGCCTAATGTTGTCACTTATAACTGTTTAATCAAGGGATATTGTGAGTTGCATCGAGTTGAAGATGCCATTGAGCTCATCTCTGAAATGCAATGGAAAGGATGTTCACCTGACAAAGTTAGTTATTATACTGTTATGGGTTTTCTTTGCAAGGAGAAAAGGATCCAAGAAGTGAGGGACTTGATGGCTAAGATGGTGAAAGATAACAATTTGGTACCGGACCAGGTTACCTATAATACCCTTATCCATATGCTCTCCAAGCATGGTCATGCAGATGAGGCTCTTCAGTTTTTAAGGGATGCAGAAGAGAGGGGCTTTCAGGTTGATAAGGTTGGCCATACTGCTATCGTTCATTCATTTTGCAAGGCAGGAAGGACAGATAAGGCAAAAGTTATCATGAATGACATGTTTTCAAAGGCTTGCTATCCTGATATAGTGACTTACACTTCTGTTGTTAATGGCTTTTGTCGAGAGGGTAAGCTGGACCAAGCTAGAAAGATGCTTCAGCAAATGTCTAAACATGGCTACAAGCCAAACACCATATCTTATACTACTCTGTTAAATGGGCTGTGTCAGAATGGGAACTCCTCGGAGGCTAGACAAATGATGAGTATGAGTGAGGAAGAATGGTGGAGACCCAATGAAATCACTTACAGTGTTATCATGCATGGGTTACGCAGAGAAGGAAAATTATCTGCAGCTTGTGATGTGGTGAGGGAGATGGTTCGGAAGGGTTTTTTCCCGACTCCAGTTGAAATTAACTTATTAGTTCAGTCTCTCTGCAGAGAGGGGAAAACAATTGAGGCTAAAAAGCTCTTGGAGGAATGTATGAACAAGGATTGTGCTGTTAATGTTGTAAACTTCACTACTGTAATTCATGGATTTTGTCAGAAAGATGATTTAGATTCTGCTCTTTCATTGCTTGATGACATGTATCTCAACAACAAGCACCCTGATACAGTAACCTATACTACAATAGTCGATGCATTAGGAAAGAAAGGTAGAATAGAAGAGGCAACTGAACTTACAAGAAAGATGCTTAGGAAGGGTCTGGTCCCCACACCTGTTACATTCAGGACTGTCATTCACCGATACTGTCAGATGGGTAGGGTGGAAGATTTGTCGAAATTGTTAGAGGAGATGCTTTCAAGAAAGAACTGTAGGACAGTTTATAATCAAGTGATTGAGAAGCTTTGTAGCTTCGGAAAGCTTGATGAGGCTGATAAACTCTTGGGAAAAGTTTTGAGAACAGCTTCAAGAATTGATGCTACTACATGCCATGTGCTTATGGAGAGCTACCTGAGCAAAGGACTTCCATATTTGGCGTATAAAGTGGCTTGTAAGATGTTTAGTCGCAATCTCATCCCTGATCTGAAGTTGTGTGAAAAGGTGAGCAAGAAACTTGTGTTAGAAGGAAAATCAGATGAGGCTGACAACCTGATGTTACGGTTTGTTGAGCGTGGACACATTTCATGATAATCTTAAGAGCTATCACATGGATAATGAAGCCTGTTCTAGCTCAAACTTATGGTTAGGGCTGGTCTCTGTTTATGTTTATCATTCTCTACCACTAAACTGATCTGCCAAAGTCAACTGGTAAAACTTGATTTTCTGTCAAATTCTACTGTGCGATTTATTACGTACTGTCCTTACTTATTGTACTGTCTTTTTTTGCCATTACAGCCACGTCTAACTTGGTTTCCTTTTGTTTTTTGTCAATATGTTCACTAACTATTTCACTTTAGGTCATTTATTTTCTGGTAGTTATTATGAAGTTTACTTTTTTTGCTCAGAGATTTGATGACACCTAGATTCTTTGTTTGCTCTCTTTGGGACATGTCAAGTCCTAGAGTCTCTTGTCAATTATTTTCTTTTTTCGGAAGAAAAAATATAGTATTAATTAGCACTAGTAGGAGTGCAACCATGTATAAAATTGTTTACAAATCTGTCAAAGCTCAATCAAATCCCCTAAATCCTTATCAATTTAAAGAGGATGACTCTTATTAAAAAAAATGTAGGATCTTGAGCCAAGTATCTTTAGTTATATCAGAAGACAATTTTCTATCCTCAAAAACTCTCTTGTTTCTCTCTTTCCATATGATCCATAAGGGAGCCAAAGGATAAGGCCTAGATGATTATTTTAGCTCTTATCCCCTAGGTGTTTCCTGTCAATTGTCACCAGTCATAAATCATGTATCTTTTATTTGCAGTTATTTTATTCGGTCAGTATTTATTTCCCCTGTTTGTCCTTTTATTTCGTAACATATTGCCACCATCAAGAGGATATTAGACTCACAGTATGTCAGATTAAGTTCAGGAACTAAAATAAGTTGATTACATCACAATTCCCAAGATATCAAATCTTGGAATATTCTTTACTTTTATTTTACATATACTAGGCTGTTTAGGGTTGGTGCTTTTCTTATCTAAATCTGATTTTCCTTTATATGTCCTGCATAGTTTATTTAAAAGTTGGGAGATGTCTTTGATGGAGAGCTTCCATGGTGGGTAGGGTTTTTAACCTTCTAGTTTGTTTGCACATGCTTGGTTTTTGTTCTCTATTTGCGATTCAAGAACACGTCCTTTAAATGAAAGCAGAAGATATTTTTGTTGCTGCTCTGCTATCAAAGTGTTCTTGGGAACTGTAACTCTACAAAACTTTCAGATAAGAGAAACTGGGTAGAATGTTTTAAAGGAGGATAGATTTATCCTAGAAAGAAGGGGGCATATTTATTCTAGTTTCAGAAAACAGCAAACTCATTGGCTCAGAAAAGGATTCTCTTCTTATGATTTCTTAGAATATAAAAATGAAGTTGAGCTTTGTTTTGTAAGTTTAAGCTTTTTAGCATTTTAAGATAAATAATCCCTCAACGAAAATGATAAATGGTCACTCAACTAGATCACTTCATAAAATCTCAGATTAAGGGATCCTAATTCTAGAAAAATCTACTCTTGTTACTACCTCGTTGTTGCCCACAATTGGTGAAGCTTATCAATTTATATTTGGCGTGTAGATGGTTAAATTTGTGTTCTTGGGCAAAGCTTGATATCCAGTTTGCACATGAGGAAGCATGGTAGAGTGTAACATAAATGAAGATCATATTTACTACTTTGTACTTTTGGAGTTGTACTAATTACTATCTTGTACCTTTAACTGAGGCAATTATTCCTTATCCTGAGAGATTTTTTACTAAGTCAAAAATATAAATTTAAAACTTTGCAGCCTACACTACCAACCTGGTTGGACCCTGTTGGACCCCATCTGACTGATGCCAACCTCATACTAGTCCCATCATACCAAAGGATATCTAAAATTTTGACCAAATCCATGTCAACCCAATTCGACTTTATGCCAGCCAAACCCAATGCGAGAATCTGAGTTAAAACGGAGGGATAAATGTAATTTTCTTAATTTTACTATTGTTTCTGTATCACATATCTACAATATTTATCATCAACGGGTATTGTATTAGCAGAATGTGCTATTTGCAAAATGAGTAAAGTTTAGGAGGTTGATTATGTTATTTGAAACTACAACATGATAATTGCTACAGTTTTGAAGGTACATGGATAGTAAATGCTAGTTTTGTAATATGTTAATAAGTTAGATTTTTTCCTGTCAATGTAAACTGTTCAAATGTTAGACATTCAACTTAAATTATCTTACATGCTAGAGTGTAATATATATGGTATTTTAAGTATTTTCTATCATATTAATCTTCTACGACAATTAGTCACTGAATTCATTTGTTATATATGTGGTACTAGATCAAGTTGTTTTATGTTTAAACTATTATTTACATGTTAGAATATAATACATATAATATTAAGGTGATTTCTTATCAACTTCAACTTCATTGTAATTGCAATTATTATACGAGTATTAGAACAAGAAGTTTTTCATTCAAATCTTGGGAATCTCCCTCATCCTTAATTATTTAACTGTTGTTATATACCCATTTACTGCCCACAATTTGCCTACAATGGCTTATTGGTCTGTATCCTTGTTCTAAACTTGGTATTCCATTTGCATAAAAGAGGCACCACTAGAAAATAAAAAAAGTTACATTTTTTCATATAAAAGTTTCAGGACAATTGGTCCCCAATTTATTAATTATTTTTAAAAGATTAAAAATATTTACCTAGCAGGTGCAAATATCATCTATGATCCAACTGGTCAAGGAAATAATATTTTCTATGAATTGTCATCAAAACAAGAAATGTGTTGGACAGCCAGGTGGGACTTTATGGTTGAGCTTGACGTGGTTAATCTGAGCTGCTTTGGAACCTGAGTTTTCTCATCTAGGATTTCAGTATTGCCGCCAAACAGGAATATTAGTTTGTTAATGATTGTTCAGACAATCAATTTGTATCTGGTCACTTTCATGCATGGTATATCCATAGTAGAAAATTTTGTACCTGTTTAATTTTTTGACTGTTTGGAACATGGAGCAGTATAGTATGACCATGTTCTGTTGTTCTGTGCCTGAAGCCTGGACCAGCACAAATCCATGGACCATATAAACAACAATGTGGTCTTGGGGTTGGCTGAGAATGTCATGCACTCTTAAGCTGGTAGATGACAATATTAGCTGTTTCAGCAAATCACTTATTGTCATGTTTAGAACTGCAAAACAAAAAATAGCAAAGTTTGAGGCCCTGAAAGTGCAGGTATACTTAAAGGCTAACGAAGTGAAATAACAATCTTTTGAATCTTATTTCAAAATAGAAAGAAGAAAAGCTATCTTTTAAATCTTTGTAATGAGGTTCAATCTTTGATGCATTTCATCTGGTGAATTGTATTTCCTAACTATGCTGGATGTTCCTGACAGTTATAGGATTCGGATGATATGCGTTTTAATTGATTTTCTTTTGTCTAAACCTGCAGTTCTCCGTCCAATCTTTTAAGTGAGCCTGAGGAAGGTAGATACAGTACTTGTATTATATGAGACATAATTGCCCTACTCTTCTCTGGTTTCTTCGAATTGTAAGGATTAGCAACTTAACATATTGATAAGAATATGATTAGCTTCCTTCAGTGGTTGAGGAACTGTACCGCTTACATGTTTTTGAGGTTTCATCTTCTGTGCTGGATTATATGACAACTTATCCTACCTCCTCCATTATTGTCTTTTTGCAAGTTGATGAAGCAGTCTAAATATCCAAATGGAATATCTTTATGATGCTTCCTTTCTCTTTTTCATGGTGGGTCCTTTTCAAAGAGAAAGAATCATATGCTTTATTAGCTGGCTGATCATTGAGTGTTAATTGGTTAGTCAGGATGCTTTGAATTGAAACTGGGAGTAAGATCCAACATGGGGCTCTATGGAGCCTGTAGCCTTATTGGGAAGACATGGACTGAAATTTCCTTCCCCAATTTGGGACCAGAGCTTTTTGTTAACGTAAAGGTGCTTAGGGACTTGGCACTGGGTCAGTAAAACTACTGGCAGACAGTCTATAAAGATGGGGATCCATTTTATACTGCAGAGATTCACTTTGCTATCTCGCCAGTCAGTTGGGCATGCTTTGGAAAAAGCAATAAATGTTATACATCATGTCTTGATAACACCTCCTACTTCGATGTTTCAAATACTCATTGAAGGCATCTTACTAGTAAAAGGACCCAAACAATCTGGAAAGATGCAAAAGAAAAATAAAACTTGGGAGGAGCCCTGGCTTTGGAAAATGGTGGGCCGTTTACTTGCTTTGCTGTCAGATTGAAGATATAAGGGTATCTTATGTTGAAAGGCACCATATGGAACCTTCCAATATGTCTGCATCATGGCCGACCCATCCTACCAAAGGTTGTAAAATTTTCAATTTACTGGTGCCGCATCTTTGATGTCATTTCCCCAGTAAAGTCATGTCTGATTTGCAAAATTAAATAACTTGATTAAAGACGGCGTGAAACTAGGCTAATACAGGCTTTTTTTCATTAGGTTAACATGTAATGGCAAGTGTGTACATTTCATAGTGTATTTGTTCTGTACATTCACAGTAATAAGTTATAAATTTCCATTTCCACAGAACCTTTTCAGTCCTTGGATTTTTTGGATATACTACTACTTACAGATTTGATTTTGGAGAAACTACTGAAAATTATTACCGTCTTTCTCTTTCTAAACTGAGCTATAATCTAGATTTGAAACATTGATTCATGTATTGGTTTATTTTGTAGAACTGCTAAGCATTGGAATGTTTTTTTTTTTTTTTTTTTCTAGTTTTTGGTCTTGCAAATACCTTGAATCTAATTCTGTGCTTTATTCAAAAGCATAAACCCTACTTCATGGCTGCAAAATATGTTGGAAGCATTCGTATATTTTCTTTTTGTCAGTAGGTATTATTTCATTATTCCAACCATACAAGCATCTTGTGTAAAAACCTACCTTGATTTAACAAAACATTTGACAATTATGACAGACTGGAGAAAAATCTCCATATAAAATCCAAGCAGTGGAGGGACATAATATGATGGAAAAACTCTGGAACCGTGTTCGGCTTCTTGCCAGCGAGCACTAGAGTCTTGGATTCATTGCATGTTGGTTATAGCTGATGATATTTTACCTAGATTACTTTGGATTTAAATTATCTTTAAGGTTGTGCTTTGTTCTTTTGGCTGATTCTTGTTGTCATTCTGTGTTTGTGTTGATGCAGTTGTTGCAGGTATGTCAGTGGAAAAGCTAACACATGTCACATATCTTTCATGTTTTCAGTACTAAAAGATCCAGATTCATCCAGCCTGAGAACGTGTACTCAGTGTATGGTCCTTATTCATGTGTTTTTGATCATTTTTCATGTGCGTTATACATTGCTCCCTAATTATAGAGATGCATCATTGTTGTCAATGCGCTGATCTTTTAAGTAAATTAATCCAAGGATGAAAGATCAAATCATGCTCACACTTGGATGGAGATGATGGAGAAAGAAGATAGGGTGTTTGGAATTGGGTGAAAGAATATGCTTAGAATAATAAAGTATTTTAAATTACTTAAAATAGGAAAAATTTTATTTAGAAAATGAGTAGTTATGTGTTTGAATAAAATATTAATTTGTAACATAAATATTGTTTTCATCAAAAAAATAATATATTATAAGTATTTTATTCTTCAAAATTGTTTTATGTATACATTATTAATTTTAAGAGCCTACAAGATGGTAATTAAGTAAATTAGTTAGATACAAAAAATAAGAACATAAAATATTTAAGATTAAGATTATGGTGCTTATCTCAACTCCTCTAAATCACTTTCTAAGAACCCATTAAATATCATGTTTTTTTATGTTATGAAATGAGAACCTTAGGGGGAGGGTGTTTAAAACTGCTTATAAGTAATCCAGCAAAGTAGCTCCCTTTATCGCTATGGTTATGAGTGTTAAATAAGATTAAAGTTAGTCGTGGATCGAGCTTGTGGCTGACTATAACCCTCTAATTGTTGAAACTGAAGCACTCTTATTAGCAACTGAAGTCGCCAGAAATTATGGATTAACTCACTTGATCTGCAGTGATTCTCTTCTTGTCATCTTGTCTCTCATGGATAACGAGTTTATAGTTGACTGGTGTATCTTTGCCCTAGTCCGAGAGATTAGGGTAATCTCGAATAAATTATATGTTTACCGGTCCTGGTTACCCAGAGAATTAAATAGTCTAGCCCACCATTTATCCCAATGGGCTACCATCAATAATTTTGTAGGTCATGTTTGTTTTGTATAGTTTTGTTCCTAGACATTTTGTACTCTTTCTTTCGATTTTCAATTTTATATCGTATGGATTTAAAGAACTGTTTATTCGTAAAGAAATAGTCTCAAACACCCTCTTATTTCGGGCATTCAGACGTATAAATTATAGAGGCTCTTGATGCTCGACACTGTTTTCCTATCCATTAGTTAGATCTACCTATCAACATAAGATGGTTCTACCATTTTTGTTTCTAGTAGATAACCCATTTGACATGATGAACTCAACTTGCCAGCCTTAATGCCTTTTTTGTTTTTTTTGTTTTTGGGGTTTCTGTCTTGTTTGCCTCCATTAGAGTCATTGTTGGAGAACACTTGCTTCTATTATTTTCAATCATCACCAAATTGCTTCTTGGTGGTGGTCTATGAAATGGTCTTTTCTACAGAAAAAAATAAATGACTTTTTCAAAAAAGGTTAATCCCCTTCTCATTTCAGAAATTGCACTATCTTCATCCACAAAAATCCAATTGCTTAAAAACATGACAAGTGTGTGGTGTTATTGTGGAAGTTACTTCTTGGCCCTTGGTTCCAAAAATTAAGTGTCAAAATTTATATGATTGTGTTTGGTTCAATTCTCATTTACTTTTACTTTTTTAATCACTATTACTATGTAGAATCTAAATGTTTAATTTTACCCTTATCTCTATATTAAACTCTTTGGTTTTGGGAATTAAGTATTTAGTTGCAAGAGATTTGAATTGGGGATGAGGGCTTAAGATCAGATATAGAAACTATGAATGTAATAGACAAGAATTTAATATAAATAGAATAAAATCGAACCAAATATTGGGAATAGTAAGTCCTTTGTGTTTGTGGAAGAATATTTTAAAGTTTCTTCAACTTTTTATAGATAAAAAGTATATAGTTATTGAAAGTAGATAGCACGTTTGAAGAATAATAGTAGAGATATAACAAGTTTGAAGTTATTATTTTGAAATTTATGTAAAACTTTCGTTATTAACTTTAATTTTATTTTCGACAACTAAATATTTTTATGCATCGAATATATAGGAATTTATCGTAGAAAGATCGAAGAACTTAGAAATGAAAGCTCTTTTTTTTAATATAAAAAAAGAAACTTTGATTATATTATTGCACAAGAAAGTAAAATTTGAAAGGATCATTTAATTAGGTTGAGGAGTGGGGTATTTCTCTCTTGTAAAAGGATTCAAACTCTATGATTTATAATGCATATAAAATATCAAGATACTAAAACTCTTCACTTCTCCATTTCATAATACAATAGTTTGGCTTAAAGTTCCGCTTGAAAAAAAATCTATTCTAATTGCTAAATACTTTATTTATAATTAAAATATAAGAATAATCTCGATTTTTATGTTACTGTATTGTGAGGCATCAAAAAGATCTTATTAATATAGAACTTTTAATAGGTTACAAAATATTTTCAAAACATGTCTGACATTATAAGCCATTATTTGCGCCCAATGTTGGCTTACAAGCATGTGATTCCAGTGGCGATGACCTCGGTTACAACTCTTATTTCCTATTCTAATATTACCAAAATCATTATTAATGTATAATGTATAAAAATCATGTTGAATAGAGACTTGAAATGAAGTTACAAAGTCAACAATCCAAGAAGAATCATAGTTAGCGAAATATACATTATTGTCCCTATAAGAAATGACAACATCACCATCAATTGCAATTAAAGTCGTCGTTTTTTTTTTTTCTTTTACAAGTTCTTATTTTCATTGTCTGTAAAGAGTTTTGTGCGTCCTGACTTACCACAGTGATAAAAAATAGTTCTTTTTTTTGTTACTTGGATCTCTCTTTTGACTTATCGTTCTTGTCTGACTGTCTGTTTCAATTCTGAAATTATGGTTTTATTCTTTCCTTACTTTTCTGTAAAAATTGTTTTTGGTTGAGTTGAGATACTTATCATTAGACAAGCTTTATAAATCATGTTCGTGCACAATTTTTATTTTTGGGTGATCAGATTAAGTTAAATTCAGTGCTTACTTACTTGTAAGACTTTATAATCAGTAATAAGATTTAACATTCAATTTAATTCATAAAAAAGAAATTGATTTAATCCAAACAATTCAAAATTTTGGATTTTTAGTAAATAGAATTGTCCATAGTTTTAAAGTTTCAATCAAATTTTAGAGAATTTTAAGATATATATGTACATATATATATTTACTATCATTCAAATGAGATGATGGTGGGTGTTGGGAAGTAAATAATGAAGTGTGAGGCATGAAATTTGGGAAATGACAATCCAAACTGTCATGCATGCATGTCTCCTTTTCCTCACTTTTACTATTTTGATTTTGTTTTTATTTTTTCAACTCCTTTCTCTTTTCTCAATTTCAATTTTTCCAACTACTTCCCTCCAAAACCAATCATGATTGGAGTTATCACCACAAACCCAATTGCTAATTAATTCTTTCTTTTTGTTAAAAAAAAAAAACTCAATAAATATGGTGAGCCATCAATCAAATTGAATGATATATATATATATATATATATATATATAAAACAAAGCTATTTCTATAACTTGACAAGATTGGATGGAACAATCAAAAGATTTGATTCTTTTATTAAGTAGATTCTATTGATTTAAAAATATACATATACATATATATACATATATTAAATTTTACCATAAATTTAAAAATAAAAATTGAAAAAAATATATTTTTATATATAAAACCTTATTTTTTTTAAAAAAAAAATAAGAGTTAAATAAAAAAACTATAATTAAAAATGAAAATTTATAAAAATATAATTATGTTATTTAATTATATTATTTTATTACTATTGATATGTTTAGTACTATATTATATTTATAACATAAATATCTCTGGTAGAAACTTAAATTTTTTTTAAAAACTTTTTTTTAGTAGTACAAAAATATTTTAATATACTATTTCTATAAAAAGTATTTATGAGTTTTCATTTTTTTAAATTAGTATGCATTTATGGATATATTTATTAGCAAAATATATAAGATATGTATGGTTGTAGAAATAACCAAGTAAAAACTAGTCAATATATATATATATATAGATATGTATAGATTGTTTAAAATTTTTATAAACTTTATAACATATAAATTCTTACAAAACAAAATCAATCAAACACTTTTTACAAGTAGTTCCTTAAGTATGTACATATATACATATACACATACACATACATAAAAATTAAATAAATATATATATGTATATATATATATGGGAAAACATCTTTCCAGTTAAGCATGCCGTTTTGCCAACATTACAGATTCACTAATCATCATGTCACCCTCTATCCTCCTTAAAATAAGGTAATTAAATAATTAATAGTTAAATAAAACATTTTTAACAATCCTTGCAATATTAAAAGTTTTAAAATCGAATTATAGTAATTCACTAATCTTGAGATTCACTGTCGATTTTTAATATTTGATTACGATTTATTATTGTTTATAATTCACCCGTAATATTCAAATAGCGAAAGAGAAAATCAGATACTCAATCGATTTATTGTTATTTACGATTTATGAATTACAAGACGACTTCAGAGCATACTCTTTATTTATTAGATAAACAAAGAGAAGATTGCTAAAATTTCATGGTTCATTGTCGAATCTATTCTAATTCAACAAGTATTTCAGTATTATGTTGCGTATGTCTATCACTGCTGAACTTATTATATCTATCGTTGTCGAACTTTTTTTAATTCAGTGAACATTTGATATTATATTTCACTTGTTTACGATTGTCAAACTTATAATTCACTCATAATATTCAAATCTTGAAGTATAAGATCAGATACTCGATCGATTTATTATTACTTACGATTTAAGAATTATAAGATGGACAATTTCATATCAAATTCTTATTTATTATATATAGTAAAAAAAAAATCAATAAGATTTTATGGTTCACTGCCGAACTTATTCTAATTCAATGAATATTTCGATATTATGTCACGCGTATCTACCTTACCGGACTTATTCCATCTACTATAATCGAACTTGTTTTAATTTAATAAATTTTTTAGTATCGTATCACGCGTTTCTATCACTGCTGAACTTATTCTATCTATTATTGTCGAACTTATTTTAATTCAATTAGTATTTTAATATTATGTATTGAAAAGAGTTTGAAAACTCTACGCTCTTTAGCACGAGATTTTGAGTCTCGTGTGTCTACAATTTCACAACCGAAATAATTATAATAGATTAAATAAAGTTTTACTTTATTTTTTCCCAAAAAAAAAAAGACTAGTTTTTTTACTACAAAAAAAAAAAAAGAAAGGGTCAAGAATATTCTTTTCAACAAATTCAGTGATTAATTAAAATGAATTATTAACCTAAGAATATTATTTTAAAATTTAAAAAAAGAGAGAATTTCTTTTTATTTTCTTTTTTAAAAAGCTACTTTTTCTCCCATTAATTAATTAATTAATTAATTATTATTATTATTTAAAACAAAAAAAAAAAAAAACTGTTTTTCTCCAACTGTACAGTCAATATTATAAAGCTTTCCCTCATTCTCCCTCCTCAACTACAATCATTCTCTTCTCCACTCTGCTCTGCAACAAAACTTCTACTAATGGATGAATCATGGCGGATGCGCATGGGAACTGCTCCTTCCTTCTCTCTCCGGAAAACCTCCCTCGACATTTCCTCCAACAACAGTACCGCTACCAGACACTCGATCGCCACCATGGAAGCTCTCGCTCCTGAAGACTTCGCCGACGTCTTCGGCGGTCCACCGCGCACCGTTTTATCTCGCCGCTTCTCCGGCGATTTCTACGAGGAGATCTTCCGTCCGCCACAGGACTTCCGTTCCTCAATCGGCGGGAGGAGCCTTCCGTCGTTTAGGATCCCTTACAGGGAGGATGGATTGTTTTCCAACGTGTTCCGGCCGGAGGACTGCTTTGGACGGAGATCGAGGGAACGGTCGCGGCCGAGCTCGAAAACGAAGTCGAAGTCGAGTTCCGAGGAGGTAAGCCCGCTCCGGCCGGCGATCGGAGATGACGTGGCATTGTCGTCTTTTGCTTCCAAACTCAGGTTTGTTTTCCGAGTTTTGAAAATTAGCTTGTGTTTTCCTTTTACTGCATAGTTAAGGTGAACTTCGGAGGGAGTTATGGTAGGTAAGACTGTAATATAGACGATCCTTTTGGATTGTTACAGGCCGATTAATGTGCGGAGCAGATGGAACACAGAGCAAGCTAGGAGAGAAGCATTTGGTTGTGCTCGACCTTCATTTGTGGAAGGCTATGAGTTTGCAGAAGAGGAATTGTACGAGAATACGAGGAGCTCATACTGTGGCTTCTCGCGAAGAACATCGTCTCCGGAAACCCTCAGTGTTGAACCAAATTCATACAGGAGTATGAAGATATGTAGTGAGGATCTGGATCTTGTCAGTTCCCCTAATTCCTCTCCTGTCTCTTCAGTCTGTCAAGAACCACAACCGTTCTCCAAGAGTTGTGTACAGAGTAGCAGTAGAGTAGTTGAAGAGCTGGAACCAGAGGATGAAGAAGATGATGCGATGAGCTCTTATGTGATTGAGATCACTACTTGTGATTATAGTGGTGAAGCGGTGTCTGTTGATGAAGCAATTGCCTGGGCTAAGGAGAAGTTCCAGAGCTGTAATCAACACGACTCGCGTCAAACAGGATATGGTAATCTTCTTTCCTTTCTCGTGAGATTATTTATGTGGATGTAATTGATGGCTCAGGTTGCTGAGATTTTGCAGAGAGATGTAAAGATGAGGCATTGGCAGAGCGTCAAGCAGATGGACACGGAACTATGTCTTCTTCCATGGTAAAATAGCTTATTTGGCAAATCATACTCCTTTTGAGGACCTGAGTGAAATTCTTATTGGGTTTTGAACAACTTTTTGACTTTGTGAGTTCTTTAGAAATGAGGAAACAGAAATCATTTGTATTTGTGGCACTGCTTCTTTTTCAGGAAGGAGAAGAAGAAGAAAAAGAAAAAGAGTGGAAAGCAGCAGAAGGAAAAGAAGAATCAGAAGAAGAGGTAAGCTCCTTACCATATTTAGAAGCAAGCTCAAATGCATGCAGGAACTTCTCTCTCATCACTTACAAGTAAACTCTATTGATACAATTGTCATTATAGATAAATAAGGCACATGATTCTGATCAAATGCGTCTGCAAAAACTAGAGATGGAAATGGATGAAGACATAAGGTTATGGTCTCTAGGCAAGGAAACTAACATCAAATTGCTGCTTTCAACACTACATCATGTAAGGATACCATTAATTTCCCATCTTGTTCTAAAGATTTTCCTGCATTTAAAAGAAAATTAATTAATTCTTAGCTGAATTGGAGTTTCAGATTCTATGGCCCAATAGCGGTTGGTACGCCATATCCATAACAAACCTTAAAGAAAGCTCACAAGTTAAAAAGGCTTACCAGAAAGCAAGACTATGTCTTCACCCTGATAAACTGCAACAAAAAGGAGCCACGCCTGCTCAGAAATACATTGCCCAGAAGGCCTTTTCCATTCTTCAGGTAATACCACTCTCGCCTCGAACCGACTTTACTTATCCAATTAGTAAGATTCTCACAGTGCTGTATTGAATATTTGCAGGATGCATGGTCTGTATTCATCTCTCAGGACACCTTCTTCAAGTAGAAATCGGGTTCAATCACGCTATAAAAAGGTGAATTCGATACTAACTTGTAAGACAAGAAGCATGTTTTAATTTATGCTCGAGGATGGAGCAGTCTGTGCACGCGTAAATACGGTTTGATAATTCATTTTTTATGTGAACAAGTTGTAGAGTGAGACAGAATGCATTAGGTAAATGGTGTATGTATTTGTTTGCTGAATTTTCTAGATGATAATCCACCAAGAAGATGAGTCTATTGACCTGATATATATATATATATATATATATATTCTGTAACTTCATTTTGCTTTTATTTTAATCCCAATAAATTTTGAAACAAAATTAATATGCTCTGTATAAATCCAGCCTCTGAAAATCCCCCTTCAAAAATTATACATGTATGTGCACGAGTAACTTGCCTTTAGTCTTTAAGTGTGTGTGTATATATATATATATGCAATATGTTTTGTTTTGTTTTTTTTTTTTTCCTTTTTCCAGAAGAAATGCATCAACTCGTCTTCAAATTTTAAACAACTAATCTTGAACAATCTTCAGTAATTGCCACTTGGATTTTCCATTACCCCCATGTTCAAGATTTAAGAAAAATACAAATATTTATGAACTCTACAACCTATATATAATTAATACTTTAATAGTTGTTCGTGCCAAAAAAAATGTGTATATATATATACTTCCATAAAATAATAAGCGTTCATAACAAATTTGGCAGCTGGTGTCGAATATCTTTACATGACTTTTGTTAAATTCCTCTTCACATAAATATTCAAAATTCAATACATATAATATTTTCACACAAGAAAACTGTTTTTAGTATAAAATATAAACCAATTCTTAAACCTAGTTATTATGTATCATAAAATCACAAATTTACAGTCTTACAATATGCGTCCCGACATAAAAATTAGTTTTTATAGCGTTAATATGTCGACATAACTAATGTTTAACTCTCTAGAATTAAAATAGTTAATATATGATTTTTATCGTAAAAATTGTCATAGAAATAGTAATATTAAGATACTATAACATTACAACTCTAACGTAGTTCGACCTGATTATTTTAAAATAATATTTTAAATATTATAATAATTATTAGAATTATATATAATTATTCACATAATTGCATTGTGTACATATCTTAAGGTGATTTAATTAATTGTATAACTAAATTAGTTAGTAATTTTTAAATTTAATAAAAAGAATATAATGCATCATACCTCATAGAAAAAGCTATACACACACATTCATATAGTTATATATATAAAAAAAAAAAAACCTCAATATTTGATAAGAGTATGCTAAGAGAATATATAATCCAATTGAGATTTTTGTGGTTGAAAAATTAGAAACATTTAGAGCCTAAATGTTAAATTTGGCATATGTACAATTTTTAAATATTTAAATTAATTTACTTACTAATTTTTTAATTTTTTTATAAAAAATGTATACTAATTTTTATTCGTTAGATATTACTAATATTATTAGTCGTATCTGTTAAATGATAATTGAGTTAACCAACGAATTAAACGTGTAATTAGATAAATTTTATATCCGATGTTAAAAAATATTTTAATTTTTATTATTTTTATGTAAAAAAATAAAAAAAAAGACTAAAAATATTAACACTCTGTTTGAATAAATATTTAGTAATGATTAATTAATGTATAATAATGACAGTGATTAAATGATAATAACACATAATGAGAATAACAAAATTTTTTTATATTTAGATGACTGTATATTAATGTATGTTAATGATATTTTTATTTAGACCATAGAATAATATATTTATATTTTTAATTATATTATTAATTTATCATTATTTATTATATATAATAATAAATAATATATAATAAAAAATAAATTATTTATTAATATAATTATATTTATATTTAAATAAAAAATTATTATATATAATCAAATTAAATTTTTATATTTAATAAAATAAATAATAATTTATAAAAATAAGAATAAAATTAAATATTATATAAGAATATTAAAAAAAAAAAAAATCTACCGGTCACATATCACAAATTCGTTAATTTTAAAATTCATTTCAAATTTATCTTTTACTATCATTAAAAATTAAAATAAATATAATTTTATCACACTTGTAGAATATAATACATTAAAATTCTATCATTTATCACAATTCAAACAAGATGTAAATATAAAGGCAAAATAATAAGCAATGAACATAACAAAGTTTCAAGAAAACAGAAGCAAGAAATGAAATCCCATTTCATAATTCCGTTTCCGACCTGAATTTCGAGCAAACTTCTAATCTGGTTATATGTGAAAAACCCTAATGATCTTCCCCGTAATACACGACGAAAGCAAGTGCAAAATGTTCATTTGATAATAGATATACACGACTAAATCAAGTGCAAAATGTTCACTTGATATTAGATTAAACAAATGGGTAATATGTTACTAAGTTCGCCTATTTATCGGAATAGCAATTTACAGTAATCTAATCCATGAAATGATTATTATGAAAAAAATGTAGCAAATTTTTTTCAAAAATTTTGGATTGAAGAAAACTATAGGGGAGTTTTCCCTCACCTAAGAGAAGCAACAATTGACTTGACTAAGAATTCAAGGATTTTGTAGTCTTCTGTTTACTTATTCCGAGTTATGACTCTCTGAGTAAGATCTACAAGTGCACGCCTTGACCTTCTTACTTCTTCGTCATTGCTTTCCGGTAAAGAATCAATAGCTGCTGCTGCAAGATTAGCATGCTTCTTCGCTAGCTCTCTAGCCTTTTGTATTCCTCGGCTCTTCCCAAGGTACTCTAGGGCCTGCCTCAAGATGTGGATCAACTCAGAGAAGTTCATAAGATAAAATCTCATATATAACAAGTTACTAACTGTAAAATCTTAGATAATACAAATTTGATAAGTTTCTTATCCATAATTTATAAATAGTACAAATGTTTTGTATTTAATTAGCCAATCTAGACTTAATTATTCTGCATCAGAGCTCGTAAATGAGGGTTGAATCCGACGTCATAAAAGCTTGAGTCGAAAATTAATCAAACTTGTTGATCATGTTCCTAAAAGACCCAAAACCTTTTTCAGTTCCAAAAGAACATATATTGTTTTTCTTTATGATTGCATTGGGATCCATGAATGGATTGGATTAGCACCAGAAAGTTAAATAGGACCTAAATATTGCATTAAGAAACTTACAATATCAACATTTGCTTGGTTGTCAAATCCTCTGTCAACAACTTCACGCAACTGAGGAAACTCTTCCATGGCAAACAATATAGGAGCTGTCACAATTCCCTGCAAAAAGCATGAGCTGCGATTACGGAACAAAGGATTTAAGTTGTAACTGTAAATATCATCCGGAAGAGTTCTTGTCGAAAATTTAACAGCTAAAGTCAAGTAACATTCAAGATGGAACAGTTCAACTTCTAATAAAAAAACGAAGTCCCCGGACTATTAAAGGAGTTTTCATAACTTAATACACAGCACCAGCTAGAAATTTTATTTCTTTTCTAAG